TCCAAGGAGTTTGACTGGAGAGTGTGCACTTGAGGACACTAGACCCCAGGACCTAGAGAATGTGTGCATGTACGGGAAGGTGGGGGCCTAGACACGAGATCTGGGGGATCTTGGAGATAGACGTGAAGTCCTGAGGACCAGAATCCTGGTGCAGAGTTGGTGTCCTGGAGATAGGAAGGAAATTTGAGGGCTTGAGGCATCACGAAATTTCCACCTCAGGGCTTGGGCTATACCTTATTGGTAGAGTGTTTGCCCAGCATGATTAGGTTCAATCTTCAATGCGGAAAAACAAATATAAAATATGAAGAAAATGTACAACCAAATCCCTGGAAGCTGAGGGGTCCCGATGCCTAAGAGATCCCTAGGCTAGGGATGGTGGGAGAGGTGAACTTGGTTGGGGGGGGGGAGTCTTGTGGGGCAGGGTATTAGTCCTGGCTCATTGTGGCCTGTGGTGTGGCCGGGGACCAGAAATACTGGGGTGCTGGGAGAGTTATTGGAGGTTTTCAAGTCTCTGGACCGGGAGGGATTTGGGGGTCACCTGCTGGCCCCCTTACCTCAGCCCACTTCTCCAGGTGGCCATCAAAGTGATTCCTCGGAATCGTGTGTTGGGCTGGTCTTCCTTGGTAAGTATCCTTGGTGTGCTTCACCTATTGACTCCTTCACTAACGATGAAATCCCCCCCCCCACTTTTTCTAAAGGATGTATAGTCCCTGGGCCCTGTAACCGTGAGAATGCTCCACCAGACCATGTTTACTACCTTGAAGTGACATACAATTCTGATTCACCTCAATTTCCCCAGAGCTCTAGATTCTCCCCTCCAACTCTTTTTCTCAACCTCCTTTTAAAAGCTGCTGTGGGGGCTACCCACAGGGCATGCTGGAGGGGAAAGAAGGGCAGAGGTCACTGGTTGCCATGGTGATGCTGGCTGCTTCTCTCCTGCCGCTCTAACGGACATAAGGGCGGGTCTGTGCAAGCTGTAGAAGCGAAAGCGCCCTCTGGCGGGCTTTTAGGAGACTGCGCCTGCGCATGCCGTGAGACCCACAAGGAGAGGATGCACCTGCGCAGTAGCAGGAATGTGCATCTCCGTGAGAAAACGTCTGCAGCTGTGCAAGTCATTGGCATGGCCGGTAGAGGGCCCCACTCAGGCAGGAAGGCTCTTTCTGACAGTCACTGCCTGACAGGGCTTAGGAGGGTTATTGAGCAGTTGTAGGTACTTGGTTACAGTTAAGTTATCGCAATAACATTGAGTATTTATTCTTTGGCAGGTCCCTTGCAGTTAATCATCATAAACTATCTGAAGGGGCTGGGGATGTGGCTCAAGCGGTAGCGCGCTCGCCTGGCATGCGTGCGGCCCGGGTTCGATCCTCAGCACCACATACAAACAAAGATGTTGTGTCCGCCAAAAACTAAAAATTTAATATTAAAAAATTCTCTCTCTCTCTCTCTAAAAAAAAAAAAATAAATAAACTATCTGAAATAAATATTGGACACCCCTATGTCAGTTCGAATTTTAGATATTTAGGCAAAATACTTCATATTTATGGAAGCCCATTTTCTGCTACATTCCCTTCTACCAACTGCTTTCCCCTGTTCAACACATATTTTCTCTCCTTTTCACCTCCAGTCAGACTCGGTCACATGCCCCCTGGAAGTGGCACTGCTATGGAAGGTGGGTGAAGGCAGTGGGCACCCTGGTGTGATCCGCCTACTTGACTGGTTTGAGACACCAGAGGGCTTCATGCTGGTCCTTGAGAGGCCTCTGCCTGCCCAGGATCTCTTTGACTACATCACAGAGAAGGGCCCACTTGGTGAAAGCCGAAGTCGCTGCTTTTTTGGCCAGGTAGTGGCAGCTGTCCAACACTGCCATACCCGTGGAGTTGTCCATCGTGACATTAAGGATGAGAACATCCTGATAGACCTCCGCCGGGGCTGTGCCAAACTCATTGATTTTGGCTCTGGTGCCCTGCTTCATGATGAACCCTACACTGATTTTGATGGTAAGACTTCCCTAAATCTCATGGATTTTTTTTTCCTAAACCTTTGTGCTTCTGACTTTCTCACCTTGAGCTCCAGTGGTGGGTTTTCTTGTAATACTTGACCTATATTGTACCTTTATAAGGTTCTTGATTTCTAATACTGAGGAGTCTCATCCTTGGCCATCTCATAAAAAGTCTATCTTATTATTGATCCAAAATCATCCTGGGCTTTTAATCTAATGAGGGGATCTTGTTATTATGAGTTATTTTATTTTTGGTAAGGGGATTCTACTGTTACTTTTGCAGTGGTGCTCTTCACTTGAGCTGCATCCCCAGCCCTTTCTGTTTATATATTGAGCCAATATCTCACTAAGTTGCTGCGGTTGGCCTTGCTATCCTCCTGCCTCAGTCTCCTTAAGTATCTGGGATTACAGACTTACACTAATATGCCATGCTGTATTGTTACTTTTTAAGTGATTTTATTCTGTCAAGGAGGCTCTCCTATTTAACTGCTCTTTTTTTTGGTGATGGGACTATGATGTTATATTTACAGAGATACTGTTCTATTAAAGAGATACTGGGCTAGAAGAGGGCAGCATTAGAATGACTTGACTCTTGCTTTTTGTGCAGGGACAAGGGTGTATAGCCCTCCAGAGTGGATCTCTCGACATCAGTACCATGCCCTCCCAGCCACTGTCTGGTCATTGGGTATCCTTCTCTATGACATGGTGTGTGGGGACATACCCTTTGAGAGAGACCAGGAGATTCTGGAGGCTGAGCTCCATTTTCCTGCCCACGTCTCGCCAGGTGAGGCCCTCACAGATCCCAGCCCAGCAGATTTCATCCTTCCAAGGTACTGTTACTCCTACTAATTGCAAAAATCCCCTGTGCTTCTTGGCCCACAGACTGCTGTGCCCTAATCCGCCGGTGCCTGGACCCAAAACCCTCTTCCCGACCCTCACTGGAGGAGATCCTGCTGGACCCTTGGATGCAAATACCAGCAGAGGAAGCACCCCTCAGCCCCCCCAAAGGAAGCCCTGCCCCCTCGGCCTGGTCTGCGCTTCCCTAGGCTTAGCCAGGCTCCCACTGGTTGGAATCCCATGGCTATGCCACAGGGATAGATGGACATCTGTTGACCTGGTTTTACAGGTTGTTAAAATCCAGTATTACTAAGGTCTGTGATTGGGGATTAGGGCGTAGAAGACAAGCCAAGTCTGCCCACTCCCCATTCCAATTTTGTGAAGGAGCCTTCCTCCTAGAGCCTGTGGTCCCTTATTCCGGAGGAGGGAATTCCTTGTATCTTGTTTCGCTAAGGATGGTTATTTGGTTGAAGTTATTTCCCCTTTGAGCCCCAGGACTCTTTGTTCTGACGAGTTGTAATTCCTACACTGGCACCTCCTACTACCACCACACAAACTTAGTTAAAATGCTCTCACTTGGGGCAAGGGTGCTTTCCTTAAAATACCCCAGCAGCTCTTATTTTAGTAAAAGGACCCTTTCCCTTTCCCCTAGCCTAGGGTCCCAGATTCATCAAGCTGCTTGCCAACCTTAACCCAGAATGGCTTATTCTGGGAAAGGTAATGCCCTATTGTTATCCCAGGGCTCTTTTTTTTTCTTCATTTTTTTTTTCTTTTTCGGTGAGGGGACCCTACTCTGTTATCCCAAGTGCTCTTATTCTGGTGAGAAGAACCTTACTTCCACAGCTTGGGGAAGGAATGGGAGATGGACACCACCGGACACCACCAGAGATTAGGATGGGATGGATGGTTTCTGGGGGATGGGCTGGGGGAAATAAGTCTTGCTGTTTGTTCTCCTGGGGACTCCCCTCTCCAACTTTTGCGATTCTTGCTGCCTCCGCCTGAGCCAGGATTGTCCAATTGCTACAATGTAAATACTTGTGTATTGGAGGGAGTGGAGCTACAAAGTGTGCCCTCCTGTCCCTTCTCCCTTGCCTGGATTATTTAAAAAGCCATGTGTGGAAACCCACTATTTAATAAAAGTAATAGAATCAGAATTGACTGGCCATGCATCTACTGTAGGCTAAGCTGAGAAGGAGATGACCTCCGTGAACCTCGGTCTTCTGTGTCATAGAGCCCTTTTATGGGTTTATTTCAGCTGAACCACAAAAATGTTTCCCCTCATTTTTAAAATATTTTTGATTAGCTATTGATGGACCTTTATTTGTTTGTTTATATGTGGTGCTCACACATGCTAGGCAAGCGCTCTACCACTGAGCCACAACTCCAGCCCTCCTCCTCAGTATTTGTGTTTCCCAGTGTGTACAAAAGGATTCTTAGAAATGCAGTAAACATTTAGGACACATCACCAAAGATGCCAGCTCAAAAGCAAGAAGACCTGTACCCTTTCCTTGAAAAAAATCCTTTTCAGAGTACTTGTAGTGTGATCAGGTTTGAGTGCTAACTGGAATATTAACTACTTCGTCCTTGGCATTTTAATATCCAGGGTGTGATGACATTTTCAACTGGTCTTAATTTCTTTCCTTGTTCTATCCTGGTTTCCTTTTGACCTCAGCTATACCTTGGCCTACTTCCCATCAAAAGCAACTAACCTGTGAACCTCACCAATTCCCTCATTTCCTAAGGTGGCACGTTGGCCCTTAATTCCATCAACTCTCCTGTGTCTTGGCTTGCTAACCCTATACAAGTCACTGGACGCTCTCCGGCGCCGCCCTCAAAACCTCCCTCCCAGAAGTTTGGGGGCGGGCCCTCCGTGGGAAGGTTCGGGGGGAGGAACTTCGGCCCAACCAGAAAGGACCTCAAGAATTTCTGATGCGGAAAGGGCCGTACCATCAGAAGAATGTCCCAATAAAGAGCCGAGGTCGAGATGTGGTTGAACCAATGAGATGAAGAGAAAGGATGGGCGGGTAGTATGGAAAGCGGCATTAGGATCTGATTGAGGGGACACTGGGGCGGATCTAGTAAGAGGTGTGGGCCAGCGCGGATCTGTAACGATGGGCTTAGAGTCGCCCATGTCCTGGTTCTCCCTTTCTCAAAGAACTTGGAAATTTCCCGGGTCAGTACTTCAGCCAGCCTTTACGAAGGGCGGAGGAAAACCACCCCTTTGGCCAGGCAGGCACTCGGCTCCGCCCTCGCCTCAGAGGCCCGGAAGCGGAAGTGATTGACACGGAAGTGGCCTGCTGTTGCCGAGGGGACGGGCCGGGCAGATGCCAACATGGCAGCGGTTGGTGTTGGTGGTTCCACCGCGGCGGCCGGGCCAGGGGCGGTCTCCGCGGGGACTTTGGAGCCTGGGACCACGAGTGCGGGTGAGACGCACAGTGGCCGAGCAGTCGGCGGCGGGGCAGAGGTCGGGATCGCTAAGGGTCGGAAAGATTCCTCACTAAAGTGATAGGGAGCATCACTTTTGCAGCGGGAGTGTGTGTGTGTGTGTGTGTGCGTGTGTGCGCGCGTGTAAAAGGGAAGGGAGAACGGAACCGAGCATTGCGAGTGTGTTGGGGTGGGGAAGATACCATTCTGAGGGTGGTTGTGGGGAGAGTCCGCATTGGAGGGTGAAGACCACTCTGAATATGGAAGAAATTTCCTTTTGGAGAGGATAAGACCATGGAGACCTTTCATTCTGAGTGCAGTAGGTCTTTTCCAATGGAAGGGAGAGATCATTCTGACGGTGTGGGAGTTCTTCCTTGAAGAAGGAAGAAACTGTTCTGAGGGTGGTTGTTCCTTCCTTATAAAGGGACCTTATAAATTGTCAGCTAGGGTGGGGCAGGCCCTTCCTTATGACTATAGGGTCCATTTTGAGGACGATGTTTGTCCTTCATTATACGTGGAAAAGACCTTTCTGTGGCGATCCCTTCCTAATGGAGGTAGAATTTATTGTATGTTGAAGTGGGAGGGTCCTTCCTTATAGGTCACAGAAAGAACATTGAGAGTGCCAGGTCCTTCCTTATAGCAGAGTGAGTTCATTGTGAGTGTGGGTAGAACAAGGAATTATTCTTTGGCTGGGGAAGGAGGGCGTGCAACGTTAGGAGGACAGAACGTGTAATATAGGGAAGTATTTCCTTATATGGTTGAGGGAACCAGACCATTCTTAGTGGGGTTACTGTTCATTATATGAGGTTCAGTCCTTGGGACAATGGGGGAGATGAGAGAAATACCATTTCTTTGGGGTTGGACATACCTTAAACAATAGTCTCATTCCTTGTATTTGGGGTATTTTTCTTTACATGACCCTCATTAAACAAGACCATCATTTCATATAAATTCCCAATTTGTTCATCCATAAAATGGGAATCTTCATAGTTTCTTAAGAATCAGGGTGATGTAAGAGTCTATTGAGGAAATCTGTAAGATTCCTTTACCTGGCGATAGGCACCCAGTGAGCACTATCAATAAATGTTGAGAATGTAGTTGTTGGTATTCTGTTAGAGAGATAGGGAGGGGAGATGGGGTGGATGTCTAGGGCCTGCCCTAGCCATTTCCTGACATCTCAGCAAGGATTCAAGATATGAGCTGGACAGAATGGACCTACTTGTCCGTTTTTAGCTCTCCTGCCTGTGGTTGAAGGAATGGAAGCAGGTAGGGGTCAATCCCTCATTGGGTCAGGGTGGACAGGCGATGGAGGAAGTTGCAGTGGCTCAGATAATCCTGGTTGAAAAGGGAGAGGGGTTGGGTGGTGGTTTGGCTATGCCCCAGTAGCTTCTGACCCCCTCCTATCCCCCGTCCCTTCCATTCCCCACAGCTCACCGGCGCCTCAAGTACATATCCCTAGCTGTGCTGGTGGTCCAGAATGCCTCCCTCATCCTCAGCATCCGCTACGCCCGCACGCTGCCTGGGGATCGCTTCTTTGCCACAACTGCTGTGGTCATGGCCGAAGTGCTCAAAGGTCTCACCTGCCTCCTGCTGCTCTTCGCACAGAAGAGGGGTATGAGCCAGGGAGGGGTTGTTGGGAAGGACTCCCCACATACCTGTATGTGTTCACATGGAGGGTTTGCTGTGTGAGTATCCCCATGTCTGTGAACCTGCCTGGGGATTATGTAAGTGCACCTAAGCTTCTTTGCCTTCCACAGCATCTACACTTTTATACCCCTAATAAGTTGGGGATGTAGGAATGAGATCGTACACCCATGAGGTAGCAGGGAACTCACATAGTGATTGATTGATTTACCTTTAACTTTGTATAATGGAGAATTCCAAACTTAGACAAAATTAGAGAATGATAAAATAGTAAAATATCCATGTATCCATCCCCCAGATTTACAATTATCAACTCATGGCCACTTTGCTCTGAAACAGCATCAATGGTTATCCAGTCAGTGCTAGCCAATATGTCTGTCTATGTAGTTCTCCTCATATTATTTCAAAGTAAATCCTTCCTTAATTTATTTTTTTATTTGTTTTAATTTGTCCTTATTATCTTTATGCTGTTGTTGTTTTTGCGGTACTCTGGATTGAACCCTGGGCTTTTCACATTCTAGGCAAGTGCTATACCACTGAGCTATGTTCTAAATCCCCCTTATTGTCATGGATAAGTTATTTGATACATATTTTTTAAGGATAATACCAGTGAGGTGTGGTGGCACACACCTATAGTACCAGCTACTCAGAAGGTTGAGGCAGGAGTATTTTTTGAGTTCAGGAATTCAGAGTCAGGTGCAGTGACACACACCCATAATTCCAGCAACTTGGGAGGCTGAGGTAGGAGGATTGCAAGTTCAAAACCAGTCTCAGAAATTTAGCGAGGCCCTAACCAACTTAGTGAGAACCTGTCTTAAAATAAAAAATAATAAGGGCTAATGATGTGGTTCAGTGGTTAAGCACCCTTGGGTTCAATTCCTTGTACCAAAAAAAAAAAAAAATCAGAAATTAATATTTAAATATTCAATCTGAATTCAAATTTATGATGATTTCTTAAGTGTCATAAAAGTTTTTAAAATGCCAGGCATGGTGGTACATGACTGTAATCCCAGCAGCTTGGGAAACTGAGGCAGGTGAATGTTAGTTCAAAGGCTTGTCCTCATAGGATAACATTTGAGATGGGAAGTGAGAGATAGCTAAAGACTGCATCACAGGCCTTCAGCTTTTTTCCCCCAGTGCTGGGCATTTAACCCAGGGGTAGGGGTATGTTTCTCCCAGCCCTTTTAAAAAAAATTATGTTGAGGCAGGGTCCTGATAAGTTGCCCAGGCAACTCAAACTTTGGATCTTCCTGCTTCAGCCTCTTGAGTGGCTGGGATTACAGGCATGCATGACTATGCCCAGCCAGGCCTTTTTTTTTTTTTTTTTGTAGTGCTGGGGATGGAATCTAGGGCCTTGTGCATGGGAGGCAAGCACTCTACCAACTGAGCTATATCCCCAGCATCCCCAGCCAGGCTTTTAGCTCTTACCTACAATTTTAATTTGTTTTTCTTTTATTTGAAACAGTCTCCATGGTATGTTTCAAAGCCTGATCTACTCAAACTTGTAGGTTCAAGCCATCCTCTTGCCTTAGCCTCCTGAGTAGGTGAGGCTTGGGTTCCATTCCAGCACTGCACAAAAAAAAAAAAAAAAAAAAGAAAAAAGAAAGAAAAGGAAAAAGTAGCCTGACCTAATGTGGACCTCTTGGTAGACTGTTTTTTATTTTCCCATTTGGTGTGAATATTCACAATTCACCACAGTAATATGAATATGCACATTTATGCTTGTTTATGGCATACAATCTTGTTACCTTATTTATTTGGAGTACTGGGAATTGTATGCCTGGAATCCCAGTTGCTTGGGAGGTTTGGGCAGAAGAATCACAAATCCTAGGCCAGCCTGGACAACTTAGTGAGACTTTGTTTAAAAATAAAGCAAAAAAGAAAGGTCTGGGGGCTGGGTACAGTGATGCACACCTGTAATCCAGTGACTTGGGAAGCTGAGGCAGGAGGATAGCAAGTTGGAGACCAACCTTGATAATTTAACAATACCCTCTCTCAAAGATTTTTTTAAGGGACTGACACCATCATGATAGTGTCCATCTATAATCCCAGCAACTCAGGAGGCTTAGGCAGGAGGTTTGCAATTTTGAGGCCAGCCTCGACAACTTAGCAAGGCCCCAAGTAACTTAGTGAGACCCTGTCTCAAAAAATAAAAAGGACTGGTTAAGTGCCCCTGGGTTCAATCCCCAGTACCAAAAAGTTTAAAAAAGGGGCTGTGGATGTAGGTTTTCCCCAGTACACAAAAAAGCGGGGCTGGTGTATAGATCAGTGGTCAAATACTTCTCTAGCACGTGTGAGGCCTTGGGTTTAATCTCCAGCACCAAAAGAAAAAGGAAAGAAAGAAAAAAATTGAGGTGAGCTTTGCATAGGCTGTGTTGATGATTCTCAGTTGGTCACTGGAACAGGTTCTGGCCAGACTTCTGCTTAATAATCAAGACTGCATTAATCCATGGGTCAGGGGAAACTGATTGGTGTGTCTAGGGCTGGCTCCTGCTCACATGTGGCTTATGGGCCACTAAGGAGCTAAAATAGTATAAGTCTAAAAATCTAGCCTTGAGATGGAGTTTATCTCAGTAGTAGCATGCATGAGATCCTAGGTTCCATCTCTAGTACCAAAACATAAAACAACTAGTCTGAAACTTCCCCTGTTTGGAATATGACTTTCCACCCGAACTCCAGGGCTTCTACTTCATAAGTTCCTGGATAATGATGATTTTTTCATTGTACAAACATGTATTAAGTGCTTACTTTGAATGGGGTTCTATGCCAGGGTGGTGGGCTCTCAGGTGAATGAAGTGTGCTCTATGATTATCAGACACAGTGTGATGGATAATTTGTGTGTGTGTGGTGCTGGGGATTGGACCCAGAGTCTTGTACATACTAGGCAAGCACCCTACCTACATCCTCAGCCCTTTTTCCTATTTTATTTTGAGACAGGGTCTTGCCAAGTTGTCAGGGCTATCCTTGAACTTGGGATCCTCCTGCCAAAGCCTTTTAAGTAGCTGGGAATAGAAGCATGTGACAGCACACCCTGTTTGAATGATTCTTCTGGGGACATTTTATTTTCTTTTTCTTTTTTGGCAGTGCTGGGTATAGAAACTTGGGACTCTGCCTGCTAGACAGGTGCCTTGCTACTGAACTACCCCCAACTGCTTTTGCAGTGAATAAACTTAGTATCAGAAAGGCTTCCTAGAGATACATTTGTACCATAGGGAGAAACTGAACACAAATGCTGGAGATGTAGCTCAGTAGTAGAATACATAGTTAACATGCACAAGGTCCTGGATTCAATCTCTAGCACTGAAAAAAAAAAAAAAAAAACTTGAGCCCCAGACCTCATTCTAACCCCTAGGGTATTGGGTAGGTGGGGGAGGGCAGGAGCCAGGCCTGGTCTCAAACTTTAGGGGATCCCTATCTTTGACAGTCTTTGTTAAAAGGGACTCTCCTTCTCCCACCTAGGTAACGTGAAGCACCTGGTTCTTTTCCTCCACGAGGCTGTCTTGGTGCAGTATGTGGACACACTAAAGCTTGCAGTGCCCTCTCTCATCTACACCTTGCAAAATAACCTTCAGTATGTTGCCATCTCCAATTTACCAGCTGCCACTTTCCAGGTGAGCCCTGAGCCCAGTATGTCCCCAAGGGAACTGGCTGGGTTGGGGGATAGAGGGTAGGATGGGGAATGAGCAGCAGAAAGCAGGGGCTGTGTCATTTGGGACTCCCTGTCATCTGGAACTCCCTCAATCACAGTGTCCTCATCTGTGAGAACTGGGAATAGGGGATGCTCATGGGGATGCTGGGATGACTGAAAGAAATACCTGGAAAGAATCCTAGGTTAGATATTCATGGGCAACCTTGTTAAATAGAGAGCCAGGATTCTAGGGCTGAATTGCCTGGGTTCAAATCTCAATTCTGCTACTTTACAGCTGTGTAATTTTGGGGCAAGTCACCTAATGTCTTTATGCCTGAGTTTCTTAGTTTATGTATCTTTGAATTGGAGGTTACAATGATGCCCACCTTCCTATGGTGGTTTCATGAGGATTAAGTGAACTTATTTACATAGTGTTTAGATCCACACCAGCACCTACAATGCACTATGTAAATATTTGCTGGTTTTATTGTTGTTGTGGTTGACTCATTTGTATCCAGATTTCCCTCATCACAAAACCTACCTGCTGTAAGATGGTTTATATACTTTAGCCTTATTTTACAGATGAGATTGCCAGGGCTCAGACAGGGCAAATGCTTTGTCCCTGATCACACAGCCAAAAAATGCGATTGGGATGTGAACTTGGGTGTAGCTTGGGACTTCCTGGCACCACCACCCTTTGTGTACTCTCTGGGAGGGTCCTTGGACCCTTGAACCACAACTCAACCAATGGCTAGTGACTGGCTCTTTTTGCTATTTTTATTTTCACCCATTGACATCCAGTGTCCCTCCATTGTGCCACAGTGGGTGCTGTCCCCCTACACGCACCTACTGGGACTCAGGATGAGCCCTCAATATCTTCCACATGTCACTCACAGGTGACGTACCAACTGAAGATCCTGACCACAGCACTGTTCTCCGTGCTCATGCTCAATCGCAGCCTCTCCCGGCTACAGTGGGCCTCCCTGCTGCTCCTCTTCACTGGTGTCGCCATTGTCCAGGCACAGCAAGCAGGTGGGGGTGGCTCACGGCCACTGGATCAGAACCCAGGGGCTGGCCTAGCAGCTGTTGTGGCCTCCTGCCTCTCCTCCGGCTTTGCAGGTGTCTACTTTGAGAAGATCCTCAAAGGCAGCTCAGGGTCCGTATGGCTTCGCAACCTGCAACTGGGCCTCTTTGGCACAGCATTGGGCCTAGTAGGGCTCTGGTGGGCTGAGGGTACTGCTGTGGCCCGCCGTGGCTTCTTCTTTGGGTACACGCCTGCCGTCTGGGGCGTAGTACTTAACCAAGCCTTTGGCGGGTTGCTGGTGGCTGTTGTTGTCAAGTACGCTGACAACATCCTCAAGGGCTTTGCCACCTCCCTGTCCATTGTGCTGTCCACTGTTGCCTCCATCCGCCTCTTTGGCTTCCACTTGGACCCATTGTTTGCCCTTGGCGCTGGCCTCGTCATTGGTGCAGTCTACCTCTACAGCCTTCCCCGAGGTGCAGTCAAAGCCATAGCTTCTACTTCTGCCTCTGCCTCTGGGCCCTGCATTCACCAGCAGCCTCCAGGGCAACCACCACCACCGCAGCTGTCCTCCCACCGAGGAGACCTCATCACGGAGCCCTTTCTGCCAAAGTCAGTGCTGGTGAAGTGAGGGCTGGTGGCGGGGGGGTGGGGGGGACAGGGAGGGGGGATGGGGTGAAGGATGTCAGGCATCTGTAGGAACCAAGTCATCGCCAGGGCCTGGCTCCTCTGGGGTTGGAAGATGGTCTTTTCTCCCAGGACACTGAGACTTCTGGGGGGCGGGGGGCGGGGCTAGGGCTGGGTGTCAACATGAACCCCTCCTGGTAGATTGACATTCCCCATGAGGGGGTTTTTAGAGCTGCTTCCTCTGCCCCAGTCTAACCTCTTTAGGCAGAGGGTTGGGAAAATGGTCATTCAAGGCATTTTGTCTTGTCTACCCACCCCTGTTAGCTGGAGGTGTCTTGTCTCTCATGTCTGGGACAGTCCCTTCCAGTCATCCCTCCAATTTTGTAAAGACAGACTGGACAAAAGCTCTTTAGTAATGACTAATGCCTACCTGTGGGGTTCTGTTTCCCATCCTTTGAGGCCTTCTCTCCTCCCTTACCATCACCCTGGGTCCTGTTGGCTTGGTCTCTTTTGTGGCCTTGGGGCAGCTTCCCTGGCACTGAGACCCTTAAAGATGGGCCTGCTGCAAACACCCAGGGCAAGAAAGAGGCCCAAGCTGAGAGTTTGCATCTGGGGGAGGGTGCAGTAGGGGCCATTTGTTTTTTAGTCATTTGGGGATTTGTGGTATAATCAGATCATTAATGATCCAGAGTGTGGGAAGTGGGGAAGGGAGGTCCTTGAAGTGGCTAAATCTCATTGAACTTAAGACACTGACAATTGCCAGATGCAGGGTTATTTTCTGAGAAGAAAATTAAAGCTGCCAATCTCACTTTTGCTACCCCGTTGGCTGTATTATGAGGTACCCTTACTTCAAGGTGGGGTGTCTCAGAATTGATGAGCCGTGAAACCTGCTCCCTGCACTCCCCAAAGCTTATTAACCCCTTAACTGTATCCCAGGGGATGTGTGTGGATGTGTGTGTGTATGTATGTGTGTGTGTGTGTGTGTGTATACATGTGTGCACGCACACATGTGCTCATGGGAGATGCCTGGGCTGTCTTTGCTATATGTAAATAGGGCCACTGGATCTTTATTTTATTAATTTGTCTGATTTTTTGGTTTGTTTTCTAAGGAACTGTAATGAACAAATGTCAGGATACCCAATGCCAAATAAAGATGTTGTATTTATTTAGTCCATGTGTAGCTTTCTGACCCAGTGGGCCCTCTCCGCATAAGCACTGTTACTAACCCCAGGACTACCAGCCTTACTGCCACCACCCTCGCTTGCCTAGGAAACCCGACTGCTAGCCCACCCCAGCTTTCTGTGTTTCTCTTTCCTCCCCATTCCCACCACAGGTTGCTCACCAAGGTGAAAGGTTCGTAGCCGCCGGGATTGAAGACGTTGGCCTGGCGTCGTTCTCCCTTCTTGCCCTGGCCCAGCTGGGACCAAACTCTGATCAGTATTAGGGGTAGGGTGAGGCAGACACCGAACTCCCTATCCACACTGCCCCTGCTCCCATGCGGGGCAGACGTGACTAAGCTTTCTTTGTTAATGTCCCACCTCAGCCCTCAGCCCTTGCCACCCCAGTATTATTTCTTAGGTGAGTTTTGCAAATAAAATGTGTTTTGGATCTTGCCAGCTTGGGTTGGGGAGCCTGAAGAGTGAGAGGGAGGAAGCACTTAAGCCTCATGAACATGATCCACAGTAAAGCTTTTATTAAAAACACCAGGGGGGCTGGGGGAATAGCTCAGTGGTAGAATGCTTGCCTAGCATGTACAAGGCCCTGGGTTCGATATCCAGTATCACAAAAAGAAAAAAGAAAACTGCCAGGGCTCCAGAGAACAAAGGTTCAGTCCTGCTGCTTGGTTCGGGAAGCCTCAGCATTGGCCCGGAGCACAGCCCCTGGGGATGGGTATGGACGCTGCTGGAAGAGGGGCCCCGCTGCTGTCGTGTCAGCACCCGTTTTAGCCTCATTCCGCTTGGGGAGTCCTGTTGACCATGTGCCCCTGGAGGTAATAGAGGGTCAAGGGGGTGGGAAAGGGGTATAGTGATCATCCCCCAACCAGTCAAGACTGAGGAAGGAGAAAGGAGATGGTGAGGAGGATGGTATTCACAGGTGCAGTGAGAGTCATGAAGAAAGAGAAGGGCTCACAAGGGGTTGTCACTTACCGGGGTGCATCAGAGTATGAGCTGGGGTCCATGGGGTCTAACTCGTCATCCTTTCGGCTTGCCACTAGGGAAGTAAATGGCAGGGGAAGTTCTTCAACTGAGGCAAAAGGAGTCCCTCATCACATAGCCCCCCATCCCAGGAAAAAAAATGAAGCCTGTAGCTGCAATGGACCACAGCACCCTTCTCCAGGATACCAGGTTCAGGCGCCTGAGAGAGGGCTTCTTCATATTGTATGCCCTGACAAGCTGAGTACCTCACCCAAGTCCCAGCCTGCTTTGCTTACCCTTCTTGCTCTTGGGGTAGGGAGCCAGTTCCTCCCTGCGATGGTGGCGCCGTTCTTTGCCCTCTTCCCGGTCTGCCTTGTCATACCCACGGTCCCGATCCCGTTCCCTGTCCCGTTCTCTCTCTCTGTCTACTTTGTCATAGCTACGTTCTCGATCTCTGTCAGACTTGTCATGGTTCCGATCCGACTTGTCATGGCCCCGGTCCAGCTTTTCATGGCCCCTGTCCGACTTCTCATGGCCCCTGTCTGACTTCTCATGGCTCCGGTCCGACTTCTCCTCAGCATCTAGGGAAAACATGAAAGTCCTGAAGTGACTTTCTCCCATTCCAGGAGCCAGCAGTCTCCACCTTTAACATCCTCACTAGCCTGGGGCTGGGCCTGCTTGGTCTCATCTGCCCCTCCTTGATCCACTAAAATTTACTTGGCCCCTCTCAGAACTGCAAGTGTCGAGGCACCACTGGATCTGCCAACTCACCTGCATTACTGCTCCTGAGCTTCTTGGCAGATTTGGTAACCACGGAGTTGGGGTCATGTGGGGAGAGCCAGGACACGAGGTCTGTGTCCACATTCCAGTAGTAAGGGAGCCCGCTGGGGGGCAGTGGGAGGGAAGGAGTGTCAGCACAGATGTCTTCTACTTGTAAGAACTCTTTGTCTCCCCAATCTCTGCCTATATCTGCCCCATGTCAGGACCCCAGATCTCTTCCCGTGTACCCTATATGCCCCACAGTCAGGGACAACAAGGAAGGGCAAACTCAAAAGTCAGTTGCCCTTCCCCCCCAGGTCCCCAGGCTCACCAGGAAGGGTCGAACACCTTGTACCAGCTGGGTGGCAGGCCCTCCAACCGGGTGGCCTCATAGTCCACAGGATCATCATCATAGTCCTCAGCAATGATCTCTTCCTCCGGTTCTAGCAGAACGAGGAGGAGGAGGAGGAGGGAAGAGGAGGAGGGGGGAGGAGGGAGGAGGAGGAGGAGGAGAGCAGTTAAGGAACAGGGGAGTTCTCATCCTACAGTCAGGGCCCGGAGAGGCACACTCATATCCACACAAATCACATGTGGAAGACACTTGGGTGTATGTGTGTGCCATGAAGCAAATGAAGTACTTCTTGCATTTCAAGCACATCTGTTTCAGGGAATTTGCCAGAAAATTTACCTAAATCTTTTGGTTCTGGGTCCAGACGATGAGTTTATAGTGTTATCCAAACCTATCTGGTTTCAGAGTTGATAGGAATTCATAAAAAAAAAAATTATCCATGTCATGCCGGGGGTATGGCTCAGTGGTAGAGCACTTGTCCAGCATGCACAAGGCCCAGTATTCCCAAGAAAAAATTTATCCATATCCATTCAGTTCCTGAGTTCACGTTATCCCAACCTATGTAGATGAAGTGAGTTTGATCAGCAAGGGGGTTATCTAAAAATAATGTCCAATCTATTCAGCTTCCAAGTTTGGTGAGTACAGGGTTCCTGATTCCTCTATATTGAGTAGCAAGAGTTTGGGTAGCAAAAGGGACTTATCCAAACATTGCTCTGAATCCATTAAGTTTCTGAGGTCTTAGTAAGCCTGCAACAGATGTCAGTTAATATCAATAGAATAAAAATTGTCTACTATCAGCTCAGTGCTGGCTATCAGTAGATCCTATAGCAGACTTTAGCTGTGCTTATAATTAACAATGAAATGTAGATGCCAGTAATGGTATAATGACTGTCACACAGTAGGCCTGAAATAGATATTAGATATAATCATCAATATTGCTAATAAGATGTATTTCTACATCAGCAGTGCACCTAGTACTTAATAGGCTTAAAAGAAATGTCAATGATATGGAATTGGGGGTGTAGCTCGGTGGTAGAGCACTTGCCTAGCATACTCAGAAACCTGGGTTCAATCCTTAGCACCACCAAAAACCAATACTCTTAATACTATTAACCACAAGTTCTATGCCTGGCACACAGTGGTCTTGTAATAGATATCAACAAGGAAATAGTATGATACATTTTTTAGTGCCTGGCACACCATAGCCTAAAATATATACCATGTTTTAATATTATTGACCATAAGATATAATTAGCAGCCAGAAACACAGTAGGCCTAAGTGATAGATCCTAACCATCATTTTAGACTATTAGGCATAATAAGTATGCCATGTTCTTAGGTCCCAAATACATGTCAGCTGTTGATATGGTGAACAATAAAGTATACGTCACCACTGTTGTGTCAATCACCAGAGGACCTGTGAGACACATGCTATCTATAGTAGACAACAAAACATCACCCCACCACTATACTTGACAACAAGAGACTGCAGGATTTGTCAACTATCCTTCCTATTAGATACCATGTAGTTAAACCCTACAGATTGATTCACAGATTTATTTTAATTATTTTTGAAATTGTGTTTCATGATTGTTGTCCAGACTGGCCTAGAACTCCTGAGCTCAAGAAATTCCCCCCACCTTGCCTCAGGCTCCTGAATATCTTGGTCTGTAGGTGCACGTCATTGCACCACCTTGATTCATGGATTGAACATGGCATCTGATATGGGTATTGATAAGGATGAAATATCTAACCTCCAACCCTTCCTACATACAGTGCTTAGCACACAGTAGGAATGGATGTCAGTAAATAATATTGTTAGCAATGAGATGCCTGCCATGTCACTGGTTGGGACACACTAGGCCCTTGCTGGTTACCAAGTGCCGACATAAAAACAAAGTGCCTGTCAAGACTGGCAAATCGTAGGCCCATCTACTCTTAGCTTTCTCACCAGGCTCCAGATGTTTCAGGATCCCTCTCTTGGCCAAGCGGGTCTGCAGTGCAACCGGCAGCGGCATAGCGGTAGGTGACAGACCTAGGGACGGAAAGACAAGACTGAAAATCAGTTCAAATGAAGAATCTAATCTAGATCTAATAACCAAGAATCTCCCTGAAGCCTGTACTACTCTTACGACCTCCACCTACCTAACTGCACCAATAGCTAGACTAACAATCTACGTGCTAAGAGATGGAAGAGATAGGTGGCAGTATCACCAAAATTCTCACCAACCCTGCTCTCGAGACCGGATGCTGCAGGACCCAGTTCCTCTTCCAGGCACAGGCTCCACCCACTGCTGAGTGTGCCATGTGCTGCACCCCAGAAGTGGGCTCACCCACTGTCCCTCAAAGACTGCTGGGTGGGAGGAACTAAGGCGTTGGGATGGGGGAGCTGGATGCAACACCTCCTCCAGATCTAAACATATGTGCCCACCCCAGGATTACCAAAACAATCGTGCGGGTAGTGGAAAAGCTGTTAGACCGGCCGACACACCCTCGTCGCCACTATTATCACCAGTACCACACGAATCTATATTTTTCCCCCTCGAAGCACAGAATGAGGTCCTCTTCCCCAAGCCTTGAGGTAACTGGGCGACGCAAGGGCTGCAGTGGACTGATGACGCAAACATAGCTGACCAATAAGAGTGCTCCTTTGGCTTGACGAGTAGCGAAGCGACCCAATCGTTTCCCTGGACAAGGTGAAAAGCTCGCGCGCCTATATGCGTTGACACTGGGGGCATGGCCTGGTTAGGGTCCCGCCAGACTGCGCCGCCAGACGCTGGCGCCATGGAGGAGCCTTGGTATGACAACAGTCACACGCACTGGGACTGCGGTTGTGGCGCCCAGGCCAGCCATGGGAGGTGGACGGGAGACACACAGGCCACACAGTGTCACGTACCGAACTCGGGAGACTCTCAGAAACTTAACTCCTTCCGCCCCCTCACCTGGCTCCTCCCACTCAGGCTCTGTTAAGAGAATCCACAGTTGTGTGCTTGAGTAGGTGCGGTGCAGTACGGACTACCAAACATTTCCCCTGACTTCGTATCTCATAGTCCCTCTTTGTTATCAAAATGATACCGCTGGTCAAATCCACTTCAGCGGAGGGGGGCTACGGTGTTGAGTGGAAACCCCCAGGGTTATAAAACATGGTTTTTCCCACGTCGCTTTTGTAAATAGGGGCAGGGCGTGGATGAGCCTATTTGTGGGCAAGGCGGGGGCGCTGGGATCCTCCTTGTGGTCTTTTTGGATTTTTCCTGGTGTTAGGTGTAAAAGGAGTGGGCCTTGGATGTACAGGGCTGATCGTCTGAGAAGGGCGTGTCACCAGGCCCTGCTTTAGTAACAGTACTAACTAATTAAATCTCTCTCTCTCTCTCTCTCTCTCTCTCTCTCTCTCTCTCTCTTTCTCTCTCTCTCTTTTTTTTTTTTTTTTTTTTTGTGGTAATGTAGATTGCACTCAGGGGCGTTCTTGCCCTGAGCCATTTCTCCAGTCCTTATTTTTTTGAAACAGGGTCACCCTAAATTGTCCTGGCTGACCTCGATTTTGCAACCCTTCTGCCCCAGCCTCCTCCAGAATGTCTGGAATTACAGGCATGCACCACCGTGCCCAGCTAGTTAACACTTCTATATCCCTAATTGAAATGTGCCAACTCAAATTTTAATAGGGGTTAAACAGTTGGCTGATTCCTTTGTTGGAATAGAGTAATAATTTCGCCCTTTTGACCCGTTTCTCTTGTGTGTGGGGGGGAAGGTGATAAGACAATCTTGTTGCTTTTGGGGGGAGGGTGTTGGGATTGAATCCAGGGGTATTTTACTATTGAGCTACATCTTCAGCCCTTTTTTTTTTGAGACTGGGTCTCACTGATTTGTTGAGGCTGGCCTTGAACTTGTGATCCTCCTGCTTCAGACTTTGAGTTGCTGGGATTATAGGCATGCACCCACCATACCAGACTTACTTTTTAAAATTTTGAGTAGGGTCTTACTAAATTGCCCAGACTGGCCTTGAATTTGGGGTCCTCCTTAGCCTCCCAAGTGACTTGGATTATAGGCATGTGCCATCAAACCTGGCTATCTTGTTACTATCTGAAGTGTTTTTTTCTGCTGCATGAACTTCCCATTCTGGTGACATGGTTTCTCCCAGTTTGAAAGAGTCCAGGTGCTGGGGCCTGGGGTGACCAGCTTGCATTAACTCCATCTTTCCCTTCCTGCTTGCAGCCCATGGCGAATTGTGGATGACTGTGGTGGAGCCTTCACTATGGGTGTCATTTGGAGGTGGAGTCTTCCAGGCTATCAAGGGCTTCCACAATGCCCCTGTTGTGAGTCCTGGCTTTCACTGGTGTTGGGGGTCAGAAGACATTCTTATACAGAATGCTGCTCTGAAAACTGCTGGGAGCAGCCATTCCATGTGCACTTATTCATTCTGGTACCTGCTCGCCTACTGTATGCTAGGCCTGGCTTCTGGACCTGGGATTTTGGAGGAACTACACACAGACCCCTGTCTTCCTTCCACCCATCTAGAGCTGCTCTGTGAAAATAGTATACTTTCAAAACAGTAGTTAGGGTTTGGGGTATGGCTCAGTAGTAAAGCACCTACTAGCATGCCTGAGTCCAGGTTTGATCCCCAGCACTGCAAAGAAAAAAAAAAAGTCTCCAAATCCTAAATGTGTATGCAAAGTCAGACAGATTTTACCTAAAGACAGATTCTGGGTTAGAAACCTAGATATAGGGAAGTGACAGGAGTTTAGTTGGCAGAGAGAATAAAGTCTTACAATTGAGAAAATCCTTTTTTTCCCCCACTACTAGAGATTGAACCCAGGGACATTGTACCACTGAGCTGCATCCCCAGCCTTTGTTATTTTTTTTCTTTTGAGACAGCATCTTGCTAAACTGCCAGAGCTAGCCTCCAACTTTGAATCCTCCTGCCTCAGTCCTCTAAAGACTCTGCGAAAAGAAAACCCTTTTGATTTATAAAAACATTTATGTATTTATTTTTGGTACTGGGAATTGAATTTAGGGGCACTTGACCACTGAGCCACACCCCCAGCCCTATTTTGTATTTTATTTAGAGACAGGGTCTCACTGAGTTGCTTAGCACCTCACCATTGCTAAGGCTGACTTTGAACTCACGATCTTCCTGAGCCACTGGGATTACTGGCATGCACCTGGTTTAACATAAACATTTTTGTCTCTTGCTCTCTTACCTGCTCAGAATATCTCATCAAATGTCATTCAAAGATCTCTACAATTTTTACCTCTAGTTCTGTCCCTCCCCTCAACTCTGGGAATGCTCTTTCCTGGATCTTTGCTCACATTTCTCATTCTGAGGATCTTAGCACATACTGCTCCCTTCCTTATTTATTTATTTATTTATTTTTTGGGGGTGCTGGGCATGGAACCCAGGACCTCCTGAAGGCATGCTAAGCACATGCTCTACCACTGAGCTACATTCCCAGTGCCCCACATGTGCTCCCACCTTAATGAGGCCTTTCCTGACTCGTCAGTCACTATCAGATCTCTTCATCCTATTTTTTCTAGAGTTTGTGTTACTGTCTGAAACTGTCTCATTTATTTGCTCAGTATCTGTTGTCCCACTACAATATGAGCTCTGAGAGGAGAGGGACCAAATCTACCTTGTTCACTGCTGTATCCCTGCAGTGTGGTGCCTGGTACCTAGTAGGTGCTCATTAGCCATTTATTGAGTGAATGAGTGTACAAAGGAATTAATTAGAACTTATCAACCCAACTTTGGCAACACCTATGCTAGAGTGCCCTCAAGACCCCTAGTTCTTGGTTGCTTTTCCACATCTATTAGGTCACCTGTGTCCTTCCCTATTTTTCTTTTTTTTGGTATGTGTGGTGCTCAGGATTGAACCCAGGGGCTCAGAAATGCTAGGTAATGCTCTGCCACTGAGCTACATCCCAAGCCCACCTCTTTCCTCTCTCTTTTTTTAAAAATATTTTTATTTATTTATTTTTTTTAGTATTCGGCAGATACAACAACTTTGTATGTGGTGCTGAGGATCGAACCTGGGACGCACGCATACCAGGCGAGCTCGCTACCGCTTGAGCCATATCCCCAGCCCTCCTCTCTGTTTTTTTTAATATTTGGTTTTTTTTTTTAGTTTTTGGTGGACACATCTTTATTTTATTTTTATGTGGTGCTGAGGATCGAACCCAGCACCCTGCACATGCCAGGCAAGTGTGCTACCGCTTGAGCCACATCCCCAGCCCCCTCTTTCCTCTCTTAAAGGCTAGAAATCCTGCCAGTGGCCTCAACTCTGCCCTTACTCATTTTGTTACTTTTCCCAGGGAATTCAACATCGGTTAAGGAGTAGTATCAACACTGTGAGGATCCATGCACCCCAGATTGGAGGTGAGAGTCTTGTAATGCCATAGGAAATATGATGGTAGTGTTGAGGGAAGTCGATCCTTTAGGGACAGATGCAAGTGGGAGGTCCAGATTTTAGCTCAGACTCTGCCTGAGTTCTTCCAATGGAGGTGACATTTCCAAACAATTAAACATGGAAGAGCAAGAATGTAGATTCCAGAGTTTAAATATAGCCCCCATGTCTTCCCTGTTTTGTGGCCTTGGGCTAGTAGCATGCCTTTCTGAACCTCATCTATAATAGGGTGATGATGATTACATTAACCACCTTATCAGTAGTTTTGTAATTTACTGATTTACTTGGTACTAAGTGCTGGTTGCTATGCTAAACAAACCCTTAAATAATATTAACTAATTTAAAATTAACAATGTCAACTAACAGTATCTCATATAGGTCCTGAAACACAATAATCCCTCAAACATATTAACTACAAGTATCCAAAATGCTTGAGACTAGAAGTATTTTGGATTTCAGAGTTTTTTCAGATTTTAGAATATTTGCATATGCCTAATGAGATATCTTAAGAATGGACCCAAATATAAATAGGAATTCAATTTGTGCTTTATATATTACCTTATATAGATAGGCCAAAAGTAACTTTACACATATAACTATATATATATGTGTGTATATATATATATATATATATATATATATATATATATATATATTTTTTTTTTTTTTTTTTTCTTTTTTGTGCAGTGCTAAGGATCAAACCAAGGCCTAGGTCATTCTAGGCAAGTACTCTACCACTGAGCTACATCCCCAGTCCTATAGACTTACTTTTTAAGAGATGAGGTCTTGGAACTGGGGAATCTACTTCAGTGGTACAGTGCTTGCCAAGCACATACAGGGCCCTGGGTTTGATTCTCAGCAACACACACACCCACACCCTAAAAGGTGGAGTCTCACTGTGTTGTCCAGGCTGGTCTCAAACTTATTTATTTTTTTAGTTGTTGATGGACCTTTACTTCATTAATTTTTTTGTGGTGCTGAGAATCGAACCCAGTGCCTCACATATGCTAGGCAATCAGTCCACCACCAAGCCACAACCCTAGCCCTGGTCTCAAATTCTTTTTTTTTTTTTAATATTTATTTTTTAGTTGACATAACACCTTTATTTCACTTGTTTATTTTTGTATGTGGTGCTGAGGATCAAACCCAGGGTCTCGAACGTTCGAGGCAAGCGCTCTACCACTAAACCACAACCCCAGCTCCCCTGGTCTCAAATTCTTGAGCTCAAGTAATACACCTGCCCTATCCTCCTGAGTACCTAGGACTACAGGTGCTTACCACCACACCCTGCTAATTTTTGTAGTAGTTTTAGTTCATCTGCATTTTGATTGTGACCCATCATGTGATGGCAAATGTGGAATTTTCCACTCGTGGTGTTATGTCCATACTCAAAAAGCTTTGGATTGGGAGCATTTTATATTTCTGGATTAGAGATGTTTAACCTATATATACTTTTCTTCCCTGGTGATAGTGCTGGAAATTGAATCCAGGGCCTCATGCACGCTGTTTAAGCTCTCCACCACTGAAATCTAATGAGTTCTAGCTAGTTTTTAAAAATTTTATTTTCAGGGGCTGGGGATGTGACTCAAGCGGTAACGCGCTCGCCTGGCATGCACGGGGCGCTGGGTTCGATCCTCAGCATCACATAAAAATAAAATAAAGATGTTGTGTCCACCGAAAACTGAAAAATAAATAAATATATATATATATATATATATATATATATATATATATATATATTTATTTATTTATTTTCAGATAAAGTCTTGCTAAATTGCCCAAGCTGACCTTTTAACTGGTGATCCTCCTGCCTCCACCTCCCAAGTTGCCGAGATTACAGGTGTGCACCACCATACCCAGGTGTATATTATGTTATTAACTGACTTTCCTGACCTGTTTCTTTCTCCCTGAAATCAAGGCCTGAAATCCAGCTGTCTGTAGTGATTAAATGATCAAAGTTGTGCTGGGCATGGTGATGTATGCCAGTGGTGCAGTAATTCCAATAACTTGGGAGGCTGAGGCAGGAGGATCACACATTCAAGGCTAGCCTCAGCAATTTAGCAAGGCCCTAAGCATCTTAGCAAGACCCTGTCTTAAAAAATAAAAAGGGCTGGGGATGTGGCTCCCTGGTGCCAAAATAAAATTGAAGTTGCCTATTAAAAGCCATATAAAAGATGAATATGCTTGTAACGTTTGTCACCTCCTTATAAAGGTGAAGGGAATATCAATTGTTAGCATAATTGCAGCCATCTTCCTTTTCCCCACCCCCACTTTATGAATACTGTTCTTATTCCCAAGAATACAAAGTAGCCCAAGATAAAACCTGTTAGCCTGGAGACCTGCTGGTCTCTCCCTCTTCTCTCATTGAGAGATAGGAGACAACTTACAGGCCCCTGAGATGGGGACGTACTGGTTTCCCTGTTCTCTCCTTGAGAAGATAAAGGGACATGCCGGTTTCCCTGTTTGCCCTCTGAGAGATAGGAATACTGCCTGTCTCTGTTCCCAAGAAACAAACTCGCCTTCCACAAGATGAGGGGATACTTACTATGTCAGTCCAGACTAAACCTGCCCCTAGCACGAGGCCATGATTCTAGCCTATAAAAGGTAACATTCAAGGGGTTGTTGTGCTGCTCTCCCTAGCTTGCTGCTGCTGTCCCTGTCTTTGTGCAGAGCAGCCTTGTCAGGCTCCTGACGATAAACCAGCGTCTTATCCCAGGTGTGTGTGATCAATCCTGTGCCACTTTTCTTTCATCAATGACAATTAAAGATGGCTTGAAGTGGAAGTTACAAAGGATGTGAACAGACATAATATTTCAGGGGAGTTTGCTCTCCTTCCTTTATATCAGGTTTTCTCCCATTCTTTTTTTGTAGTGCAGAAGTTAGAACCCAGGCCTCACTCATGCTAAGCAAGCACTATACAACTGAGCTACACCCCTAGACTCTTTTTTCCCAATTTTGACCAGAGAATTCAAGCCTTAGAACTCCCCAAACCTCAAGATATGTTTTTTGGGATTTCCCAGATACACTAATTAAGCTTCTGTCCCCATACAGGTAGCTTTGCAGTGTGGGGGTTCCTGTTCTCAACCGTGGACTATGGCCTGGTGCAGCTGCGAGGCAGGGAGGATCCCTGGAACTCCATCACTAGTGGTGCAGTGACTGGGGCTGTGCTGGCTGCCCGCAGTGAGTGCCCCCTCATCCCTGACCCTTGAGCCTCCCACACTGTTCTGCCTGCCCTCACTTTTTTCTTTCTTCACCCCTCAGGTGGACCATTGGCAATGGTGGGCTCAGCGATGATGGGGGGCATTCTATTAGCCCTCGTTGAGGGTGTTAGCATCCTCCTCACTCGATTTACCTCCCGACAGTTCCGCAATGGTGAGTACCTAATGACGATTGTCAGGGAAAGAGGCAGAAAATGCTCTACCTGTACTCCTCCAATCGTCCTAACATCATTCTCCCTTCTCTAGTACCCCCATTGCTAGAGGACCCCAGCCAGCTCTCCCCTAAGGAGGATACCCCAGACACAGACTTTCCCAGCTGTCAGCAATATCATTGAGGAAGCCGCCACCTGACACCACCACTATGGGAGCTGCTCCTCGGTTCTCTCACCTCTAAGGGAGGGCTGACTTTCAGTTAGCCCTGGACTCTCCAGAGAGGGCCTTTATTCTGCTCCCTTGTCCCAGGTTGGGGGTGGGGCATCCCAGTGGCCTTGACAGACGGATTCCCTTTTTCTCTCTCAGGGCACCCTAGTCCCACATTCACATGTAATAAGTTCTCATCCCAGCTTCTTCGTGTTGCACCATGATGAGTTTTTTAAAGCCAGTTTTGAAATGCCTGTTTATGCACTCCCAGGACCTCCCTCTCAGGACAAGGGCAGAGCCCTTTTCATGACTCAGAAGCCCTAGGACTTAGAGTCCCACCATGAATGGGCTATAATAAACATTTATGGGATGAATGAGCAGGAAGGGAGAAGTGCATGAAGATAAGAATTGGGTACATGCATAAGGGTGTGCAGGAGCCAAACAATGAATGAGCAGACAGGAACATGTTTGAAAAGAAGTGCACGAACGAACACAGGGATTGTTGGGGGTGCACATGTTTGTGCATGTTGTACCCCTGACACTGTACACATACACATACTGCTATCCTGACCCCTCCTCCATAAGCTCCCATGGCCAAGGCTGGGAAATTGACCTTACAGGAAGCCCTTTTTTTCTAGATACCAGTCACCCCATTTTCAAAAATTATCCCCATCCAATGTGGTCTCACTGTGGCCCTAGAATGGAAGTTGGTGTCAGGGAGATATGGTTTCTTCAAAAAAAGGTCTCCTGTGTCAGTCTCCCGTTCTATCACAGGGATACTTTTCTACAGAGTAGATCATGCAGTGTTGTCAGTTGTTTGGATCACTGTCTTAGCCCACCTTAGCCTCCAGAGTAGCTAGGATTACAGGTGTGCCTCACCATGATTGGCTTAGTTGTTTGTTTGTTCAGGCCAACCATAAAAGAACTAGAAATTAATTTTCATTTCAGGATAGGAAATGAATGGGGAAGATATTTTTTTGGATGGACATCACACCCACGTGATGTCACTTATATGTAAATCCTATGTGGCTGAGGCAGACACTCTCCATTGGGGTGCAAATGCCACAGGGAGGCACAAAAGCTTCCTGAGAAATCAAGGGTTTCCTTTACACAAACAGCTCCAGTACACATGACCTCATGGGAGACAAAACCTGTTCCTATCTGCAAGCCATTGCTACTTGATGGAAATGCCCTTTCCCTGGTACAGTATTGGTTCATAGGGATGCAAAGGTGACTGAGCCACTATGCCTCCTGCATGAATGATAGTGCCAGGTAGTGCATGACCACCCCACCAAGGGCCTGAGAAAAGCAGGGCAAGGTGGGGTTAGTGTGCACCAGGAACATGGCTGGAGCCTTGGGGTATGACCCCTAACCATTGGTGCCACAGGCACTTAGAGCAGCAGTGCCTTCTGGACCCCTTCTGCACTCCTAGGCCTCATCCCACTCAGGATTATTCCAGTGGCCTTTTTGGTCTAGTCTGCTGGTTACTTCCAGCCCTCACCTTGCTTACTACCTCTTCCAGGCCTTTCTTTTCCATGAGTCCACCGGCCTTACTCCTTGCCCATCTTTCCATGCTGCCCTCTAAGGCAAATGCAGAACCTACCACCTCTACACAATCCTACACTATCTCCCTGGTCCCCTTTAAATGGGCCCTGGCCCTACAAACCCCTTACTATCTGCAGGTTCCCCATCCTCTGTAGCCTCTAAATTCTACCTCATCCAACTTTAAGGTCCCATCCCTTAAGGCACTTCCAAATGCTATGGCACTCAGCCCTCCTCTCGTGCCTGGGAATCCATTCAAGTTCACCACTGGGGGGCAACTGGACCAATGCAGTCTGGGCCCCTGTAGGTGGCTCGCCTGCTCACCAAGTAACATTCAGGGCCCCTTCCTACAGTAGTTCCTCCAGCCTCTAGTTGGGATAGGGTAGGCTGATGCCAGATTTAAAATATGAAGGAGAGGGGTTAGAAAGTGAGGCTTAGAAAATAAAGAATCTGCACCCTGGGTAATTTGTACTGCTAAAGTTTTAATAAACTTGAAATGAGAAGGAGGGAAAGAAAGAGTTGTAGGGCAGCTTCAGATTATGGTGCATGTGTCAGCTTCCTAAGAGAAATATAGGGTCAGATTCAGGGAGGGACTGAGATGGAGAGAAGGTAAAAGAGACAACAGAGTTGAGAGATGAGAAGTAGAAACAAAGAGATGCACATAGGGAGATACAGAGGTGGAGGCAGAAAGAGACATGCAAGAGATAAATGAAAAAAAGAGGGAGAGAGCAGGGCATGGTGACACATGCCTTTAATCCTAGCAGCTTGGGAGACTGAGGTAGGAGGATCATGAGTTCAAAACCAGCCTCCACAACTTAGCAAGGCCCTAAGCAACTCAGTGAGACCCTGTCTCTAAATAAAATACAAAATAGGGCTGGGGGGGGGGGTGCTGGGGTCATGGCTCAGTGGTAGTGTGCATATCTAGCATGTGTGAGACACTGGGTTAGATTTTCAGCACCACATAAATAAATAAATAAATAAAATAAAGGTCCATCAACAACTAAAAAATATTAAAAAAAAAAAAAAAACATAGGGCTGGGGATGTGGCTCAGTGGTTGAATGTCCCTGAGTTCAATATCTGGCACAAAAAAAAAGGAGAAAGAATAAAGACAGAGGAGTAGAGGAGTAACAGGAATCTCTGTAAGGGTCAGAAATGCAGCAGGGAGGAGACAGTATATGCAGCGCCAAATGCAGGAGAGCAAGCAAGGTGTGAGTGGTTCCCATGGTGGCAGTATGGAGGTACCTACTGTACTGAGAGTCTGGACCCACAGCGAATGGTCAGGCCAGCCTGCCTCAGGCCTCTGGCCCTTTACCTTCTAACTGGGGTCCTTAAGGAAACACACAAGTGCTTCACCTGCATTCTCTTTCTCAAATACGCCCCTACTGTGCTGGGAATGGAACCCATAGGCCCTCTCAGGCTAATTGCTGGCTCTACCACTAGGCTACACCCCCAGCCCTTCATCTCTGATTTATTCCTATTTACTAACATCTACATCCACCAAGGATTTCAGTGGCCCTCCTTCAGGTTTTTCCAGTCTCTTCCACATTTCCTCCCTGCCTCACTCCCATCTTTGTCTCCATCTATCTTGATTTGTCACTCAGCTCTTCTACCCCATTCTTCTGCTTTGATCTCCCTGGCTGATGGTTCTCACACTCCCTATAGCCCCTGGAATTGCCATCCACATATGTGCATGGGGAAAAGGGAAAATACTGGGTGGGCAAGGTGTTCTAAAGAGATGGGCTTAATCAAGGAAGAGGAAGAGGGTCTAAACCCTGACAGTAGGGTCACCCTATCCACTTGATCAAGAAGAGATCCTGAGTCATGTACAACTAATTAGAATAAATTTAAAAAATAAAATAAAAAGGAAGTGATCCTGAGAGGCTAGGGAGAAAGACAGACATGGGAAATTAAAGACAGGTAATAGAGAGACACACAGGAAGAATCAGAAGAATAGGGAGAAAGATACCAACAGAAAAAAAGGTGGGTGCAATGGTGAACACCATGGTATGTGCCTGTAATCCTAGATACTGGGAAGGTAAGGGAGGAGGATCTCTTGAACCCAGGAGTTCAAGGCCAGCCTGGGGAACATAGGGGCACCAGAGGTTACAGAGAAATCAAAGGAGAGACAGATACAGAGTGATACCCGGAGACATAAGAAGTGGTACAACAAGCAAAAAAAGGAAAAAGATTAATAGAAAGGAGATGGAGATAGTTGAGACAAAAGTTGAAAACAAAAATGAAAACAGATGGGCAGAGAAAGTGTGACAAGATGGAGATGGTAAGAAAGAGTGCCATGGGTTCAATCTCCAATAAAAAAAAAAAAATAGGCTCAGGTCGTGGCTCAGTGGTAGAGCATTTGCCTAGCACATGTGAGGCATTGGGTTGATCCTCAGCATCACATAAAAATAAATGAATAAGGGCTGGGGATGTGGCTCAAGCGGTAGTGCGCTCGCCTGTCATGCGTGCGGCCCGGGTTCGATCCTCAGCACCACATACAAACAAAGATGTTGTGTCTGCCAATAACTAACTAAATAAATAAATATAAAAAAAAATAAATGAATAAATAAATGTATTGCTTCTTTCTACCACCAAAAAAAATTTTTAAGAAAAAGAACATGTACCAATGTTAACCAAAGATAGAACAGAATGCTTATATTATAAACAGCTTTATTCATAATCACCCCAAGCTGGAAACCAATCAAAAGCACATCCACCCCCAAGAGTGGATGATAAAGTGTGGCATATTCATATTGTTGGGGGAGGGTCTTCATGGATTGCTCAGGTTTATGTGTAGTCCTGGCCTGAGCCAAGGGCATGTTTGAACAGTAAATTAAAGAATATATAACTCCAGAAAGATTGAGACAGTTCAGGGTAACCTAGAAATGCTACCCTCACCTCCAACTAAGAGATTGCTGACATTCCATGATAATGAGGAATCTGATGGAGAGGAGCTCAGGCAAGTATGTCAATAGCTTCTGAACATCTTCAAGTCTCCTCATTTTAGGTTCTTCTCCCATGCTGCCATCAGGCACCCAGAGGAAACATCCAGCCCTGTACAAATTGGGGCATGAAATATCAACGCACAATGTTAGTTCCTCTGGTTGCTGGTTTGGGGTATAATAAGTAATAAATGGTCTGTTTTTCTGATCACGGGTTTTGTGTTTTTATTTTTGTTTTTATACTGGAGATTGAACCCAGAGCCACTTTATCACTGAACCACATCACCAGGAGTTTTTATTTTTTGAGACAGGGCCAACATAAGTTGCTTCGGGCCTTACTAAGCTGCTGAGGCTGGCCTAGAACTTGTGATCCTCCTTCCTCAGCTTCCTGAATTGTTGGAATGACAGGTGCACACCACCATATCCAGTGGTCTTGTGATTTTATGTATGTGTGTGCATGCACACATGTGCCTAAATGTATCATGGATTACGGATATATAGTTCAGTGGTAGAGTGCTTGTCTAGCATGTGTGAGGACCTGGGTTCAATCCTGAGCAATGCAAAAATAATTAGTTTAGAAAAAAAATGGCAGGATAACTTGTCAGTTTCCAATTAGGGTAGAATCTCAGATCTTTCACGGTTTTGACTTACAATGAAAATAAACTTTGCAACCCCTATCCGGGTCCCCTTTTGCACCAACAAGAGTTCAGTTTCTATTCTTCACACTTGAATAAATCCTACTCTTTTCACTCTTGAAAAAAAAAAAAGAAAATGAACAAACTCTAATTTCTTGTGCATAAGATGGGATGAATCTCATCAACAGTGTTGGGCAAAAGAAACTGCAAGATACAAAAGAATACATAACATTATGATTCTTTTTAAAAAATATTTTATAGTAGATAGACACAATACTTTCACTTTATGTGGTGGTGAGGATCAAACCCAATGCCTCACATGTGCTAGGCAAGCCCTCTACCAACTGAGCCACAACCCTAGCCCAACATTATTATTATTATACAAATTTTAAAAAGTGGGCTTGGGCTGGGGGTATAACTCAATAGTAAAGAGCTTGTGTTGTGGCTGGGGTTGTGGCTCTGCGGTAATGTGCTCACCCAGCACGTGTGAGGCCCTGGGTTTGATCCTCAGCTCCACATAAAAATAAATAAAATAAAAGTATTGTGTCCAACCACAACTAAAAAATAAATATTTTTTTAAAAAGGAGCTTGTGTAGCAAGGCTTGGGCCTGGGTTAGATCCCCAACACTGCAGATAAGTAAATAAAATAAAAACCAGGCTAAATTAAGCCATGACTGTTACAAATTAAGAAGTGGGTTACACTTAGTTACATTGGAAGTTGGTGGGGGAATGATGAAAGAGGCACAAGAAGCCAGGCACCAATGCATTACACACCTGTAATACTGGCTACCAAGGGGAGGGAGCTAAGGCAGGAGAATGGCAAGTTCAAGGTCATCCTGAAAACTTAGGAAAATCCCGTCTCGAAAAAATAAAGTGTTAGGGGTGTAACTCAGTGGTAAAGCGGTCTTGTGTTCAATTCCAGGAAAGAAAGGGAGGGAGAGAAGAAAGAACTAAAAGAAAAAAGTATAGGAGAGCCAGTTGGCTTGTTACGTGTATGTTCATTTTGTGTTCATAGATTGTACATATTATGTATATTAAACCTCACTGAAAAGTTAAATGTAAACTAGAAATATATATAACAACATGGATAATTATCAAACCTGCCAACTTGAAAGAGAAGGAAAGTTTAAGACTGTTATATAGTATATGATTCCTTTACATTAAAAAAAATGGGGCACAGTGGTGCACACCTGTAATCCTACTGGTTCAGGAGGCTGAGGCAGGAGGATCTTGAGTTCAAAGCCAGCCTCAGCAAAAGGAAGGTGCTAAAGCAACTCAGTGAGACCCTGTCTCTAAATGAAATACAAAATAGGGCTGGCTCCGTGGTCCAGTACCCTGGGTTTAATCCCCAGTACCCCATAAATAAATAAGCTAAAAATAATACGAACAATATATACAGTTTATAGATCCCTAATTACATAGAAAACGAATAAAAACATGGAAAGGAATGATCAACAAAACCCCAAGATTACACTTACCTCAGAAAAGAGAGGGAGGAGGATGGAATTGGATAAGGGAGGTAGGTTTCAGCTAGGAGTCTATTTTGTTTCTTAAATACTTTGTTTCTTAAATAAGGATAACAACTACAAAAAACTTGAGGCAAGTGAAAAATGTTAAGATGTAATGGGAAGAGGGTCCACAGGTGTTCCTTATTATTCTCTACTACAAATTTACCACTGGTATTAAATTGAATTTATAGATTAATTAGGAGACACATTGATCCAATATTGATTCTTCATGCCTGGAACATACTATGTCTCCCCATTGATCTAGGTCAGCTTTTCTTCTATAAAAATTTTTAGAGCCCATACTTATTTTTTTGTTTGTTCAGTTTCACAATAAGTTGATGGGTATGGTTACCATGAATGACAGTATCCTTTTAAATTACATCTTCTAAATTTAGATTCTCCAAAGGAAAGCATTCATATTTGTATTTTGTATTCAGTCTTATTTTTGGTCACCTCACTTTTCTTGTAACCTATATGCATCCTATACACTTCAAATCATATGTAGATTACTTGGAAAATCTAATATATTGGAAATGCTGTGTAAATAATTGTTATGCTATATTGTATAAGGAATAATAGGGAATGATAACAAGAAAAGATGTACATATGTTTGATATAGACACAGATTTTTTTTTTTTTTTTTTTTGGTACCAGGATTGAACTCAGGGGCACTCAACCACTGAGCCACACCCCCAGCCCTATTTTATATTTTTACTAGAGACAGGATCTCGTTGAGTTGTTTAGCACCGTGCTTTTTGCTGAGGCTGGCTTTGAACTTGTGATGCTCCTGCCTCAGCCTCCTGAGCCACTGGGATTACAGGCATGCGCCACAGGACTCGGCTTAGACACAGATTTTTCCCAATATTTTCAAGCCATGTTTGATTGAATCCACAGATGAGGAACCTACAGATTTGGAAGGCAGACTGAACAAGGGTTCCAATTTCTCCTCTTTGCTCATTAACACTTGTCATCTCAGTATTTTGATACTAGCCATCCTAACAGGTGTGAGATGATACTTTATTGTGGTTTTTTGACTTACATTTCCTTGGCAATTATGGATATTGATCACCTTTTCATATACCTGTTGGGCATTTGTATGTCCTCTTTGGAGAGATATCTACTTAAGTTTCTGTTCTTTTTTTTTTTTTTTTGTACTGGGGATTGAATCCAGGGATGCCACTGAGCCACATCCCCAGCCCTTTTTTATATATATTTTTTTAGAGACAGGGTTTTGCTAAGTTGCTTAGGGCCTTACTAAGTTGTTGAAGCTGGCTTTGAACTTGTGATCCCTGCCTCAGCCTCTTGAGCCATTTGCTCTTCATTTTTTTATGGTGCTGGGTATGGAACCCAGAGCCTCACACATTGTAGGCAAGCACTCCAACACTGAGCTACATTTCCATCCCTGTCCATTTTTTAATCAGATTATTAATTTTTTTTTGGATGGGGATCCATTTTGTTTTGTTAATTGCTATTGAGTTGGAGTTACTTATGTAATTTGGTGGGGTTTTATTTTTGGAGATAGGTTCTCACCATGTTGTCAAGGGTGGTCTCAAATCATCTTCTGCCTCAGTCTCCCAAGTAGCTGGGACTATAGGTGTAAACCACCAGACCTGGTTGTATTTTGGATTTTTTTAATATTTATTTTTTAGTTGTAGTTGGACACAATATCTTTATTTTATTTATTTATTTATTTTTATGTGGTGCTGAGGATCGAACCCAGGGCCTCACACATGCTAGGCGAGCACTCTACAGCTAAGCCACAATCCCTGCCCTGTAGTTTGGATTTTAACCACTTATCAAACAAATGGTTTTCAACATTTTTCTCCCGATTTGTAAGTTGCTGTTGATTTCCTTTGCTGCATAGAAGAAGCTTTTTGGTTTAATTTTGTCCTGTTTGCTTATTATTATTATTATTATTATTAGGTTTTTGGTACCAGGGATTGAACTCCAGGGCACTTGGCCACTGAGCCACATCCCCAGCCCTATTTTGTATTTTATTTAGAAACAGGGTCTCACTGAGTTGCTTAGTGCCTCGCTGTTGCTGAGGCTGGCTTTGAACTCGTGATTCTCCTGTCTCAGCATCCCAAGCTGCTGGGATTAAAGGCATGTGCCACTGCACTCAACCCACTTGTAAATTATTGCTTTTGGTGTCATATCCAAGAAACCATTGCCAAGACCACTGTTGAGAAGTTTTTCCCCTATGTTTTCTTCTAGGAGTTTTATAGTTTTAGGTCTTAAATTTAAGTCTTTTATCCATTTTGAGTTGCTATTGGTTAGTGTAAAATGGAGGTCCAATTTTATCCTTTTGCATGAAAATACCCAATTTTCCCAGCACCATTTGTTGAAGACCATCTTTTTCTTATTATCTTATTCTTGGTGCCCTCATTGGTCAATTGACTGTATGATTTAGTCTGTTTTGTGCTGCTGTAACAAAATACCACAAAGTGGGTAATTTATCTGATGAAGGCCTTCTTGTTGCATCATATCATAGTGGGAAGACAGTAAAAATGGTGCCAAAGTTCATTTTCTCTCTCCCCTGCCCCTTTCTGGTAGTGGAGATTGAACCCAGAGGCACTTTTACCACTGAGCTACATTCCAAGTCCTGCTATTGTTTTTCTATTTTTAGACAGAGACAGACCCTCAGAGTTGCTTAGGGCCTCACTAAGTTGCTGAGGTTGGCCTCAAAATTGCTACCCTCCTGCCTCAGCCTCCCCAGCTGCTGAGATCACAGGTGTGTACCACTGAACCTGGCTCAAAATTCTCCTCTTATGGGGCTGGGGTTGTAGCTCCGTGGTTGAGCGCTTGCCTGGCATGCGTGAGGCACTGGGTTCGATCCTCAGCATGAATATATATATATATATATATATATATATATATATATATATATAATTTTTTTTAATAAAATAAAAAAAATCTCCTTTTAGCTCATTGTGGTGGTGTGCACCTATAATCCCAGTAGCTTGGAAGGCTGAGGCAGGAGTATCACAAGCTCAAAGCCAGCCTCAGCAATTTAGTGAGACTCTAAGCAACTTAGTAAGACCTTGTCTCAAATTATTTAAAAAAAATTTAAAGGGCTAGGGATGTGGTTTAGTGGTTAA